TATCTTCAAGGTTGAAGGGAAACATCTTAAAACTAGAAATTAAAGTTCAAATCATATGCAGATGCTTGTACTCTTCACATCTGCTCCCCTCTGGTCTTTATCATATTTCTCAAATTTCCGGCAGCCCAGGTGGATCTGGGATGGCCTCCGAGGATGTGATCCGTCAGACCCGCTTGCTCGCCCAGTGCAGCGAGCCAATGTGCAGAGACCCAGATCTGCAGCGGAGACTCTTTATCAACGAGGCTAGTCCAGGGAGGAGATGGGTGATCATAGCCTCAGACACCCCTCTCCACGAGAGGGAGTCGAGTAGCTAAGGGATTGTATGGGAGGCGACAATGTGATGGGTGAGGGGCAGTGAGGTGGTTGCCGGTGTGCAAGCAGGTGCAGTCGGTCACGTGTGCGTTTAAGGAAATGATGACGGAATCGTGATCTGGCGGTGGAGAATGGAGGCAGTTCTGGCCTCTTCTGTGTCAAAGGTTGTCTATTGGTTGTTCCTGCAGTCCAGGGAGGGTGTGTGTCTTGCCTGGCTGAGTCGGCTAAGGTGGCTAAGGGGCTGGCCGCTGGTTCCTGAAAACCGTCAATACAAGCATCTTGTACCAGTGACCGCAGGTCGTACAGATGTGACCTTGAAGCAGTGATGGGGTGCAGAGACATGTCCACCAAGCCAGCGTGGCCCTGCAGTGGGGTCAGCTGGGGCTCCTGCTTCTAGTCACTGGTTAGAGCAAGGAGCTTGGGGTTCGTTTGACAGAATTTAACCCTAGCGGGAGTTTCCCCACTTCGAGGAGAACTACCTCTCCCTCCTGAAGGGAGTCAAGGCTGGGTCCTCCTTCCTACCCTCCCTGGCCGGCTTCTCTCTCCTCCCCGGAAGTGATGACCAGTGATGCCGGCTGCCACAGGTGACCCGGGCGGCTCAGGTAAGAGGCCGTTTCTGCCCACACCCTGTTGCACTGTGGGTGTAAAGAGCTCAGTTCTGCCCCCTAGAGACCGTCCCCCTGCCCTGTAACATGGTACAGGGTATGCCTGTGACATGCTGAGTACCTGGTACATTCGAGGGTGTTAGACCCAGACGTTCCCACGGAGAAAGCGTGCAGGCCTGGTGTGTGTGTGTGTGTGTGTGTGTGTGTGTGTGTGTGGTTGGGGGGCTGGGAGCAGGTACCCCAGCATCTTGCTGTCCTATGGGGACACAGCTGCAGTGTCTCAGGCATGGCCAAACCATCCGCTTCACAGTTTGGCCTTAAGCCTTGGCCTCAGGGCCCTTTCCTGGGAACTCCGGTGGGGATTGTTCATAGCCTGACCCAACCTTCCTGGAAGTACCCCCACCAGACACTTACTTTGTTCCTGCGGGCCTGGGTGGTGTACCGAAGAGGAGACAGGGATGGCTTTCTCTGGGACACTTTGACTGTCCATTGAGCAACTGTGCCGTCTCTCCCGGGGGGTGAGGGGGAAGCCAGGGTATTTGCAGTAGCTCTTCTACTTGTGGGCATAGAAATAGGTCAACCCAGCTCTGCTCTGAGGTTTTCTGTGAACAAGGACACGGCGTGGCCAGATGCCCTGGATGTGAGCTAACGGCTGCATGGGAGCCCCACCTCACACTTAGACACCCAAGGTGTCTTCAGGGTTTTGGACTCTCACCCTCCAGTGGGCACTGTGGGCCATGCTGAGGAGGCTTCCTCAGCACGGGTTAGCAACCGGCACCTGGGAGCTGTGTCTAGGGTGGCCAACCACAGCCTATTTGGGCATTAGAGGGAGAAGACCCAGTGCTCTCCCAGGGCTCCTCGTGTGACTCTCTAAGAATGCACAAAGGGAGCGGCCAGCAGCTGGGATCCTGGTGCTCCTTGGTCACATGTGTAGCATCCAGCTGGGACGTCCTTCCTTCCAGCTGAGCCCGGCCCGCCCTTCCCGGGAAGCATGTGCTGGAAGAAGGCCCTTCTGCATCCAGCCATCTCTGCCTGCACAGTCGCTCTGGGCCACGGCTGAGCAGGAGGAGGCAGGGTCCAGGCCTGGTCCACCCAGGGGCCTGGAGCACAGCCGAAAACCTGCCTGAGGTCCGGCCCCAGGGCCCGGGCCCCCTCTCTGCCCCCTGATGACAGAGAAGGCCCAGGCTATTTGTGTGGGCGCCCTGAGGGGAAGTTTAAAACCCCAGGCAGCAGCGCCAAACAAGCCATGCAAAAGGAGCAGCCTGTTATTAAGTCTGAAGAAAAACAAAAGCAGAACTGCCTGGCGCTGGCAGGAGGGAGGTCAGCTCTGCGTGGTCTCCGCTGAGCAGCGTCTCCTCATGTGGTCCCCTGACTCATTTCTTTAAAATAGTTACAGGAAGCAACAGGAGATGGACTCAAAAGATAATACTCCCCTCTCCCATCCTGAGCAGGTCTGAGAGCTTCTGGCACTTTCTCTGTCCCTGAATTTAGGATGAGGTCATGCTTGATTCCTGGGATTGACTTTCCTTGGGAGAACTACCCTTGGGGAGCTCCCCTGCAGCAGGGCCAGTGCATCTGGGCGGCTCCCCACTTCTCCCCCTTTCTCAGTGTTAAGTCTGAGAGTGGGAGCACTTTGGGGAGGGTGACAGGGCAGCTGGGCCCCTGGGGGCCCCACTTGCAGTGTGAAGAGATGACCTCTGGGCCCCTGGGGGCCCCACTTGCAGTGTGAAGAGATGACCTCAGTCACTCGAAACAGCGCCACACAGTGGCAGAGCTGCAGAGATGCCTCAAGGCATGGCCCCAGGAAACGCCAGGCTCCTGGCCAAGTGGCCAGGCTATTTCTGGGCTCTATCAACCCTGGCATAAATGATCCCATTCTCCCTATAGTCTGGATTATGGTGCAAGCCAATCCCTGGAATTAGAAGGGAGGGGAAGCGAGCTGTGGCGTCCACTTCCTGCCGTGGCTGTGGCTGGTTGGCTTCCCGTTAGCTTACTTTTCAGCTGAGAAAAACAAGCTGGGAAGAAGAGTTTGGGAAGAAAAGTTAGGACTGGCAAATACCCCAGGCTTTCTCGAGGAGGAGCAGGGCTCACATGTGATGTGGAGATGAGCTGGCCGGGACTCAGCTCCAGGAAAGTGCTGCGTTGGGCCTTCTGGGCTCTGTGCACGGAGCTTGCTGACTGCAGCCCGGAGGGAGGGGAGGTTCCTGGCGAGGCCGGGGCACCAGCTGGAAAACTTCAGCTGGGCTTGGGGGGATGGGCGGGAACCCTGCATGGGTGGTCTCTGCTGCATATCCACTCGGAGTGGAGTAAGTTGGGGTCCTGGGGGCTGAGACAGGGCCCCTCCCACAGCAGGAAGCAGCCCAGAAACCAGTGAGGGTGAAGGCGCTGGTGGGGCTTCCCAATAAGCCGCCCCACCTCCCAGTGTGTGTGAATGTGCGTGTCTGTGTGCCTGCGTCTCTGCGTGGGTATAGTGCTCGAGAATTCGTGTCCGTGTTTTGTGCTGGTGTGTGTCTCTGACAACACATGACAGAAGAAGTCCAGAGGGGAGTGACATCTTGTTGGGAAACCTCTCCTGGCATCCTGGCTGGCTCTCTGTTCTTGCCAGGATCACAGAACAGACCAGTGTCACTGATGAGGTCACAGAACACTGCCAGGACCCTGGTGACCATGGGGAGCCCAGCGACCAGCTGGGCTGTGGCCAGCTAGGGGGCTTCTGCACAGCCCAAGCCAGCTCTCAACGACCAGCTGGAGCACTGAGACCCTGGGCGCTCGTGTCAAACCATGAAACGCCACTTCACAGACCATAGGGGCCAAGAGTCACCAACTGATGGGACCAGCCTCAGCTTGGCCAGCCCGGATTCCACAGAGGAGAGCTTGGACATGTGCTGGCCAGGTAGGCCAACAGAAAGGGCTGGGGAGTGCAGCCAGGCGTGCTCCTGGGAAGGAGGCCAGAGTTGGTCACAGAATGGATGGTGGGGCCCGGAAACTGGGTACTTGGTGTGGCCTAGGCTGTTGTGAGTACCCGAGGGGATTTCAGGAGGGATCAGAAGGAAATGTAAGTCATTATGTATTTATTTTAGTGCGTGCTTGTAAAAGAATGAGCACGTCCATTCTATGATTTCAGCAGTGAGCTGACCATGTCCTTTACAGCACACCAATGACAGGTCACATAGAACATCATGGAAGCCCACTGGGACTGTCCAGGCCAGCTCCTGAGGGCAACGACACCAGTTTTCAGGGCCGAGTGGGCTCTGCTTCCTCGTCTGTCCGACGGGGTCCACACTGGCCATTTCTTAGGGAGGATTTGCATATGAAAGGAGGTAAAACAGTGCAGGCACTGACCCGTGGTGGGGACACACTGGGACGGGCGGGCAGTGCCCCGGAGGGGGGCGGAGAGCTGTCACACCTGGTGATAGGGAAGGAGCCAAAGCGCTCTGTCCCTGAAGTTCACCTTTCCTTGGGCTCAGTTATTTGACATAATGCGTTCCCGTTGGACCCACGCCTTGCGTGAATTGGCAGTTTATTCATTCATCTGCGACTGAGTTGTACTGTCTGGATGGACGGGATCTGTTCAGTCACCCTCTCCTCAGCCTCTTGGGCCTTGACCAAGTTTTTGGTGATTACACCCGTATGTTCTTTGACCCTTCTCACCAGATCGCAGTGTGTAGATTAACCTGTCTGTTCACCAGATGGTGGCCTTTCTGGGTGAGCCGGGTTCTGGCGGCCGCATTCCTACATTTTGGCCCTCACCACCCCACCCAAGGTTGGCGTTATCGCCCGTGTGTAAGGAAGCGCCCCAGGTGACAGTTCCTGCATCCCCTGGCGTTGTGGCATTGATGACCATGTCCCTCTGCTTCTCAGGCGCCATGAAGAGAGAAGGGAGCTCTCCGAGGCCGGGGCCTGCCCTGCCCTGCGGGGAGGACGCCTGCTGGAAGGCCAGGGCGCGCCGCCTGCTGAGCTGGAGCAGCTCGTCCTCGCAGTCGTCCTCCTCCTACCAGTCCTACTCCCAGTACCAGTCCTGCTGCTCGTGCGCGTGCGACCAGGACGCGGCCCCGCAGCACGCGTGCGCCTTCTACACACACGTGCAGACCGTCCGCGGCGTGGCGGTGGCGTGGGAGACCGACAGCGGCTTCCAGC